TATGAGGTGATGAAATTTTTTTTTTTTTTTTTTGTTATAAGTAGTAGTATTGGTAAATATTAAATTTGAGAAGTAGAAAAAGTGATTTTATATTAATATATATATATATATAAGTAGAATTGAAATGTGAGCATAAAATTAAATTTAATAGTCATTAACGAATATATTTTCTTGCTTTACTATAAATAAAAAATCACTACTCTTCAACTCAGGACCCAATAATTAAAATGGATTGTCATGACAGACAATTAAAGATATATATACAGGTGAGTGAGACAAATGGCATCCCTTTTTTTTTTTTTTTAATGGTGACAAATGACATCTTTAAATGTGAGAGTCGCGAACTGACCACTCCTAAAATTAATGAACAGCATACATTACATCAAGATAGTTATTATTACAAAAATATTCATACCTCACGTATGAAGATGTGCTCCAACAATGGTTGAGTGCATGTATATTTTGTTAGATTTAATTAACAAACAATAAGTAAAAATTAAAATTAATCATCAATTAAAGAGAGGGTTTGATCTCATACCTGATTAGAAAATTAAACTTGAGATACCTTTTTGAGAATTTTTTATCGCCCTTTGATAGATCTGAAAAATAAAGCGCTTTACCCCTTTTTGAAAGTTGTTGATACGATAGGACTGAATAAGGGTTTTAAAACCCCTATATATAACAATAACAGGGGGGGACGGCTTTTCTACAAACAAGCATATCTAAGTCTCCCTTCCTATCATGGAAATTTAAATATCAATGGTTAGAATTAAATCACACCAAATAAGTTGGAAAACCACAATCCAACGATATAAAACCATACTCCCAATTAGACCACCAAATTAGAAAGTACAACCCAATCCATCAAATATCAATAATCACATTGCAATCCTAATTTAGAAAACGTAGTACATAGGACCATAAAATAATTTTATAATTTCAATATATATATATAAAATTCCAACAATCTCCCACTTGGTCCATACACTCTAAGTTTTATAAAATGACACTATGGATTGCAACACACTTTATAAAAAGTCGAGTGGCCACTCATTTTTTATTTAGAAAACACAATTATCGAAATTGATGGATTGAAACTTTAGAACACTCTCCTCCATAAATTTCCTCAATAGTGGATCATGAATGCGTAGACAATTAATATATTAGTCTAAACAGTTCCATGGTCTCAAAACCGATTCCATGTAGGATTCAAGCAAATATAGTGGTTTTACTGTATTTCATGAGATATGCAAACTGCATGTGGTCTAAACGCACACCTCACTGTCGGTCTTACTTCATACCATCGCGGTATGTCACCTGAACATATTACAGCAAACCGCCAACCTTCTGTTCAGTGTGAAGGTTTACCGATATGGAGCCAATCTCATATCTAGCCCAAGCTATCCTCATAGAACGTTAACACTCCCATAGGCAAACTTTAGTAGTTATGTTTGGATTTATCAATGTGGTACCAATTTCACATCTAGCCCAAACAACTTCATAAGTGCAATACCACTCTCAGGCAACAAGAATAATACGTGCACATATCATTTACAACAATGTAATAATAATGATGATGATGATGCATCATAACTTTATTTTCATGCAAACAACTGTCACCATAAGGTGTAAATAAACTGAAAGAAAAATAACTGCAATGTAACATGATGTAATAGAGAAATCAGACATCATAACACAATGACTCTTGAATACCCATCCGAATCACGTGCTCTTTAAATATTTTTAGCTGAAGACCTTTAGTGAGAGGATCTGCAATCATCCTTGCTGTATCTATATGGGGAACCTCAATAATACCTTGTTTAACCTTCTCGCACACGTAAAGGTACTTCACATCTATGTGCATATTATGTTTGGTCAATTTTTTATTTTTCACATATTTTGTGACAGCTTCATTATCACAGAAATTTATCAAAAGCTTGTGTATGGAGTCTACAACCTTTAAATCCGCAATAAACTGTTTCAACCACATAGCACGTTTGGTCGCTTCATAACAACTGATCAACTCTGCATACATAGTTGAATTTGCGATAATAGATTGCTTAGAGCTTTTCCATAATACAGCTTCCTAAGCCAACATAAAAATATATCTAGAAGTGGATTTTCTACTACTCGAACAACCTGCATAGTCTGAATCAGAATAACCAACTATCTCCAAACAATCTGATTTCCTGTACACCAAGACAAACTCTTTTGTTCTCTGAAGATACCTCAAAACTTTCTTCACCGCCCTCCAATGAGCAATACCTGGATTTTGCTAAAATCTTCCAAGCATCCCAACCACATAACTAATATCTGGTCTAATGCATGTCATAGCATTCATCAGACTTCCAACTGCAGACGCATATGCGGTGACATCAATTTTACTTCTCTCAATCTCATTCTTAGGACATTGTTCTTCCGAAAAAATATCCCCCTTTACAACTGGAATCTCACCAGGTGCACAATTTTCCATCCCAAAAGTTTTTAAAATTTTATTAATATATGTCTTTTGAGATAAACCAAGTGTGCCTGAAGTGCAATCTCTATGGATCCTAATACCCAAGACAAACTCAGCATTGTCCATATCCTTCATATCAAAATGACTTGATAAAAAATTCTTCGTATCATGTATCGCATGAATGTCATTGCTAGCTAGTAAGATATCATCAACATATAAAACAAGAATAATAAAACGACTCCCACTGACCTTGAGATATATGCATTTGTCCCCAACATTCTCCTTAAACCCATAGCTAGTAATCACTTTATCAAATTTCAAGTACCACTGTCGTGAAGCTTGTTTAAGCCCATAAATTGATTTATTTAACTTACACACTTGATGTTCATGTCCCTTAACCACAAAACCTTCAGGTTAAGACATGTATATCTCTTCCTCAAGGTCTCCATGAAGGAATGCTATCTTCACATCTATCTGATGCAACTCAAGATCATAATGTGCAACAATAGCAAGAATGACTCTCAAAGAATTCTTTGATGAAACTGGAGAGAAAGTCTCAGAGAAATCAACACCTGGCTTTTGCTTAAAACTTTTAGCCACCAATCTAGCTTTATATCTATCAACATTTCCAAGTGAATCCCTCTTGGTCTTAAAAACCCATTTGCACTCCTCCGCATTGCGATCTGTAGGTAAATCAGCAAGCTCCCACACCCTATTTACATCCATAAAGTGCATTTCATCTTTCATAGCATCTATCCAACTAGAAAATTCATGACTCTCCATGGCTTCATTAAATGAAGTTGGATTCTCATGCTCGCCAATGTCAACCTCACTAACATACACCTCAAAGTCATCAGGTATAGCGGATCTTCGAGTTCTAGAAGATCTTCTAAGTTGATCAGGCTCAGAAAGTGGATTAAAAGGTGAAGTAAGAGGCTGCACATGAGGAATAACTGAAGGGGTGGGATTGGGAGCTTTGAATGGAATCACTGAAGTTGGAATTAAATCTGTAGTAAATGGAATAGATAAAGAAGATTGCTCCTCTGTAAAAGAGAAAGTACGATGATCCAAACTCCCACTGGATTCGTCATTCTCAATAAATTTTGCATGACTGGTCTCAACAATCTCCATAGGTCTAAAGGGACAATAAAATCTATAACGAAATGATCTCTCAGGATACCAAATGAAATGACAAGTAACAGTGCGAGGATCAAGCTTCTTAATATTAGGATTGTACAACTTTGCCTCTGCAAGAAATCCCCACACATGCAAATGTCGAAGACTAGGTCTACGACCTGTCCAAAGCTTGTAAGGTATTTCAGGAGCTGCTTTACATGGCACCCTATTAAGAATATAAACTGCCGTTTTAAGAGCTTTTCCCCAAAAATTCTCAGGTAGTGAAGAATGGCTCATCATACTGCGAACAACATCTTGATAGGTGCGATTTCTCCTTTCTACAACTCCATTTTGTTTAGGAGAACCAGGCGTGGTATACTGTGGCACTATACCTTGCTCTTTGAAGTATGTGACGAAAGGACCATGATTCACACCCTCCTGGTTCATTCTCCCATAATACTCACCACCTCGGTCCGATCTTACAATTTTAATCTTTTTGCCTAATTGTTTTTCAACTTCAATTTGATAGATCTTAAACATGTTAAGTGCATCGGACTTTTGGTGTATTAGGTACAAATAAGCATACCTTGAAAAATCATCAATAAAGGTAATAAAATATATTTGTCCTCCTCGAGAAGCGGTAGGAAACGGACCACAAATATCTGTGTGAATAAGGCCTAAAAAACTAGATGACCGACTAGCCTCAAAATTACGTTTCTTCTGCATTTTCCCCTTGACACAGTCAACACATAAATCAAAATTTGAAAAATTTAGTGGTCCTATAATCATCCTTGACCAAGCGTTCAAGTCTCTTTCGAGAGACATGCCCCAATCTCCTATGCCACAACATAGATAAATCATCTATAATAAAAGCACGTTTTGATCCGGAAGGTATCGAATCCACAGAAAAATAAGAAGCAGGTATATGAGAATCATCCAACAATAACTGATATAAACCATCAATTAAACAACTATGTCCAACTATACTATTATCATAATGAATAGTAACTGATCCATCACCAAAAGAAAACCGAAAACCCAAAGCATTAAGTCTTGAAACTGAAAGTAAATTACGCATAATAGTAGGAACATAAAAAACATCCTGAAGTTCTAAGGAAAAACTAGTGTGTAACACTAGCGAAATCGTCCCAACAGCTGCAACATGAACTGCATCAGCATTACCCAACACCAATTTCTCCTCAGCCCTGGGTTTTCTCTGGCTTCGAAGTCCCTACTTTGTTTTTCTTTAACCAATTTTTGTAGCTGTAGTAGTCTTTTCTTTGATGTCCTTTCTTCTTACAGAACCAACATTCATCATTCGCATTTGCATGCTCAATGCCTTTTCCTTTGTTGTCCTGCTTTTTCATTTTTCTGAATTGTCTGATTCCCTTTCTTGCCTCATTTCAACTTGAAGTTATTCCTACTTTTACTGCTTATGGCAAGATAAGGCCAACTCAAATTTAGCACCCTTGAGCCGCTCTTCCTCGATCACACAAAGTGCCAATAGCTGATTAATGTCCCATTTTGTCTCCTGTGAATTATAATTTACCCTGAAAGCATTAAAAGATCTAGGCAGAGAATAAATCACCATGTGGACCAATAATTCATCATCAAATGTGATTCCCTGCTCTCTGAGACCATTAACCAACTTGCTATCTTATAGATATGCTCCCCCACTGAACCACTGCCATCATAACTGGTTGACATAAGTTGTGTTAAATAATAATACTGAAGTTGTTTCTAACCCATGAATTGCTTCTTAAGTAAATCAAGAAACGCCTTGTCAGTATCAAATACAGGAATACCACCACGAATAGTCTCACCAATAGAAGCACGGATCAACCTGATGGCCATGGTATTAGCCTTAGTCCACTTAGCATGCAACAACTTTACTACTTCAGAAGACTCTTCAGTGATTGCAACGGGTTTCTCCTCATAAAGTACAAACTTAAAGTCCAAGAAACCCAATATAATATCAACACTTGTTCTCCAGGTAGTATAGTTCGAACCATTCAATGGTTCAATCCCTGTGAGCTGTCTTTGAATAGCGGAAGCGTCCATAACTGTAATACATGTTATATCAAATAACATAAAAATGAACATATAAAATAATATGTTACAGCTTTAAGGATTATTTCTTTAATTCGTGCTTGGGGTTTTAAGCCGAATTTATCAGGGTGTTTTACTATATGCAAAACTGTCCACCCAGCAGGAACATATAAAATGCCATCTAAAAAACACATTTTGGCAGAATTTTAAATTTTATTTTATCCCAAACTTGCGATCAAATCACACATAGACCTATTTGATTATACTTGAATTGTTACTAAACACTTCCACTACCTTTTGGCAAGAGGGTTATTTAGTTATAATTCAAGCACTCTCAAATATTCTACTCACTTATCCCACACTAAGACATTGATCACCTTTTGGCAGAACAAATACCCTCGTGTAGGTAAGTGCACTGTGAGACCTCAATAAGACCAATGCCTTAAAATTTAAAAATAATAACCTCCATGAGCGTGTCACTTTTGAAGCAGGCATCACTCACTTTGACTATTATTTTTTAAAACGGTCACTTTACCGGTCCTCATAAACCCCAATGAAAGACTTTATCTTTATAAATTCCATTTAATCAAGTATAGCACAGTCATGAGGTCATGTAATTTCATCACCATTATATGAGATTAGTCAGTGAGCAATTTAATAAATAATACATGAAATTACTACCTCACATATATAGAATAATTTAAAGAATTAATTAAATATTTAAACATATATCCCTCTCTATATACTATACACAGTATAGTTTTTACAATCAAATTCATTGATTTTACTTCTTGTTCGGCGTGCATACTGATTAAAGGAAACAAATTTTAAATCATATAACAAATTAATTCCTTAAAATCATGACAATAATCAATTTATTAAAAACAGACAGTATAAATTCATAACAAATTGATTACTTAAACTTTAACAAAAAAATTAATTCATGCCAACACTTGTAAGGCGTGCATGTAAAACTAATTAAAACAAACTGATATATACACACATATACAACAAATTCATTAATTTTGGTTTCTGTCTCGTTCGGCGTGTACAACAATTTGCATTCCTGGCTACCAAATTGCGTGCATGTAAAACTATTAAAACAAATTCATATATACACACATATACAACAAATTCATTAATCTTGGTTTCTGTCTCGTTCGGCGTGTACAGCAATACAAAACTCGTGCTGTTGCATTCCTAGTTACCAAATTGCTTAAAACTTGTTGATATTTAAAACAATCAAATCTTCTCTCGGTCGACGTGCATTAAATATCAAACAGAAACTTACTTACTGATTATATGAATCAATTACATATCAATAGGCAAGTACAAATATCCAAATAATTAAATACCCACAAAATCGAGACACACAAAATTAATGATTTCAAATACATCGATTTAAGTATGTTACATCATAAATTAATCTTTATTATTTTGATTTCTACAAACCCTAACCTTGCTCTGATACCAATTGTTAGGTTTAATTAACAAACAACAAGTAGAAATCAAAATTGATCATCAATTAAAGAGAGGGTTTGATCTCATACCTGATTAGAAAATTAAACTTGAGATACCTTTTTGAGAATTCTTTATTGCCCTTTGATAGATCTGAAAAATAGAGCGCTTTATCCCCTCCTGAAAGTTGTCGATATGATAGGACTGAATAAGGGTTTTAAAACCCCTATATATAACAACAACAGGGGGAGATAGCTTTTCTACAAACAAGCACATCTAAGTCTCCCTTCCTATCATGGAAACTTAGATATCAATGGTTAGAATTAAATCACACTAAATAAGTTGAAAAACCACAATTCAACGGTATAAAACCATACTCCCAATTAGACCACCAAATTGGAAAGTACAACTCAATCCATCAAGTATCAATAATCACATTGCAATCCTAATTTAGAAAACGCAGTACATAGGATCATAAAATAATTTTATAATTTAAATATATATATATAATTCCAACATATTTTACCCAACATTAAATATATTTCTGTGTTTTTTACTTCTCAAAATATTTAAAAGAGTAATAATACATTCTCTAAATTATTAGAACACTAACTTTTTGAGCAAATGTGTCTATATTTGAATCCCTTTCTCCCTAGTTTGTCAGACAAATAAAAAAGTGGAGTTTGTTGGGTAAAAAAAGAAGCGCGGAGATATGAACAACACCACTTAACTTAAGGGTGATATTTACGCCTAGATATCATGAAGTTTTTAAGTGGTATTGATATTATTTCGGAATATTAGGAGGGATACCATATGTCAACGTATCAGTGAATATTGTAAATTTTCTTTTAAATAGGTTCCGCAACTATTGCTCTAAATTACGTTTAACTAGCCCTATTAGTATAGGGTGTTGGTGGTCGAATTACCCTTTGAGAGAGAAACAGACGAAGAGGGAGAGACTGTTGTTGTATGAAATTTCATGGACCCAAATACCCTATGTACCACCTTCACTCCAAAACTATATTAATATAATATAATATAAAAATTGACAAGTCTTTGGAAGTCGTATCATTTAACGTACTGAATAACATCGTCGTAACATCATTTATCGTTCGTTTTTTGTATGCTTTATCACAACTCATATGAAATTCAGATGAGTCCCTACCCGAGTCTATGCTTGCTAGTCTAGTCTTCTTGGTGTTCTAGAATTTAAATCACGCGTTGCTTAGCTATAAATAAGTAGTACCTATATTTTGTAATACGTACCATGACCGTCAAATAAGCTGCCAAGTTTCCAAATTAAGATGAGGAGAATACCAACCCAACTGGTTTTCTCTCGCTTCTTCTTTCTCTCAGCTCTTAGAATATTTTTGGTTACAGAAATGGCATTAATGAGTGAGAGCAGAACAAATACTCCAGTAAATGTAAATGTTGGAGTTGTTCTTGACTTAAATAGTTGGAAAGGGCAGATGTGGTTGAACTGTATCTCGATGGCTCTCTCGGACTGGTATGACTCTCATACTTACTACAAGACTAGTCTGATGCCGAACACCAGGGCCGTCTCCAATGATGATGTTGTTGTTGCAGCTTCAGCAGGTACCATGCACACTCTGTGTCTGATTACTCTAGCTGTGTGTGTTTGTGTGAGATATATATATGGAATATGGGTTCATCAATCTGTTGAACTGATCGACCAAATAATTAATGGGTTTAGTGAATATCATCCAATAAGCACAAGTGTGTGTGTATATATATATATATATTAGAAAAAAGCACGTGCGATGCACATGATGAATAATTTGTAACTTATTCTATTATTTGATAATAATTTATTTTACCTATTTTTTAATTGTTTTAATAATGATTTTAAACTCTTTTATTTTAATTCATTTTATATCAATTAATAAATATTTTTTATATTAATAAATAAATATTGAAATACTAAAAGAAATTAAAATAGCTAATTTGTGGTAGAGTTTTATAAAATATTTTTTATATTAAATATTCTTCTCTAATTAGATTTTTTTTTATTAAAAAAGTCATAATTAAAGGTAATTTGTGGTAGAGTTTTAGAAAAAATATTTAATTTTGTATATCAATTAATAAATATTTTTATACTAATAATTCTTATATAATTAGATTTCTTTTAAAAAATTCTTATTAATAAATAGATAAATAGGTAAATTTGAATTTTATTAGGTAGATTTTAGAGTTTTATAGAGTTTTTTTTTTTTTTTTTTACATATATAAAATTTTTTTTCATATCGATTAATAAATATTTTTTATATAAATAAATAAATACTGAAACAGTGAAATTCTTTGCACACATTTAATATTAATATAAATAAAAACTCTTTTTATATCAATTAACAAATATTTTTTTATCTAAAAATAAATAAATACTGAAAACTCTTTGGCAGAGCTTCTTTGATTAATAGGATGATAACATGTGTCATCTCCTGATAATAACATAATCATAACTAGCCAGCTTGGTTATATTGTAATAATTATTCATAAAAAATAACTATTCTTTTTATATCAATTAATAAATATTTTATTGTGATTGATTTTATTAAGTGATTTTTAGTATTTTATAAAAACTATTTTTATATCAATTACAAAATATTTTTTTATATAAATAAATAAATACTAAAATACTGAATGGGCCAGACCGGTTATATTATAATAATTATTCATAAAAAATAACTATTCTTTTTATATCAATTAATAAATATTTTATTGTGATTGATTTTATATTATTGTCTAATTAGATTTTATTTTTTTAAAAAACTAATAATAAATAAATTAATGTGATATAGTTTTATAGAGAATAACATAGCTAATTAGTGTTAAATTTATAGAAATTATTTTACTTTCTTTAAATATATTATTGTCTAATTAGATTTCCTTTTATTAAAAAAATTCATAACAAATAGATAAATAAGTCATACGTGTTAGAGTTTTATAAAAACTTTTTTAAAAACTCGTTTTAAATCAATTAATAAATATTTTTATATTAATAATTCTTGTCTAATTAAGTTTTCTTTTATTAAAAAACTTATAAAAAAAGGTAATTTGCGTAGAGTTTTAGAAAATTATTTAATTTATATATTAATTAATAAATATTTTTATATTAATAATTCTTATCTAATAAGATTTATTTTTATTAAAAACTCAAAATAAATAGATAAATAGGCAATTTGTGTTATAAATTTATAGAAACTATTTTTATATCAATTAAAAATTATTTTTTTATATTAATAATTCTTCTCTAATTATATTTTTTCCTTAAAAAAAAAACTCATAATAAATATATAAATAGGTAATTTGTGTTAGAGTTTTATATAAACTCTTAAAATATATCATTGTCTAATGTGATAGAATTTTATTGAAAATAAAATAGATAATTTGTGATTGAGTTTTATATAAACTATTTTATTTTATTTAAATATATCTTTGTCTAATTAGATTTTCTTCTATTAAAAAACTCATAATAATTGGTAATTTATGGTACAGTTTTAGAAAAATTATTTTATTTTTTATATCAAATAATA